TTTTGATCTAACAAAACTCATATTGGTTACTTTTGATTGCAATGAGCATAGCAACAATACAATGTATTCCAATAGTTCCTTGGCATTGTTTTAGCTATACGTACGCCTTGCAACTTTTGCTACTTTTTCTTGCAACTTTTTGCAACTTTTGCTATTTTCAAATGCAACTTTCTCTGAGGACAGATTTTTGAGACTTCCGGAGTATAAAAGGTTTTTAAAGGCTTTGGGTGACTCTTATGTTTATTAATTCACACATGGGTTGGGGATATATAAATAGACTCGCTGTCCCTGGGATCCATGAGCAACATCTTCTTTGGTGCATATTTCTTTTCTCCATCCTTCTTTCTCCTTCCCCTTCTTCTATCATTTCTTCCACCGCTTCCCCTGTGTGCAGCAAAACTAGAGGTCGTCCATCCCACAGAATGGGCGCTTCGTTGACCGTGGGGTGCGACCTGTGGAAACCGGGTAACTGGCAGTTGAAGTGAGATCAGTCTGCGGACTGTCCCTCGCCAACACACCTCTTTGACCCACTTTTTCCCCCCACGGGAGGGTGGGGCGGCCTATGCCACTCAATCGATTTGGAGCTGAAGCCCCTCCAGTTTTTCCTTGGGTCAATCTTGATGGTACGATCTAGTACACTTTCGTGGAGAGTATAACTCCGGAGTAGCTCTGGCTCAGCTCTGGTCATCCGAGCAATGTTTCCTCTGTTTAACTCAGTGGTGGGAGGGGAGCCCCGTTGTTGAAAAGCATTCCAACACACATTGAATCCCCAAAAACTTTCTGACCCATCCCTAGTCCCCAACGATACAAAAAAGTTTCGGCTCGTAGAAGCGGGTGTAGCCACCGAGCCGAGCAGACAACCAGGAAAACCGACCTTTACGGCTGATTGTGCTCTCCCTCCTCCCAGGGAGCTTCCGGGGCAGCCGTACTTGACCATCCGCAATTTTGATGCACAGAAGAAGATCACAGATCCAACCCTTTTCATGACAGGAGATGCTTTAAAACAGACAGT